TTAGCCATTTTACAAGGTGGTGATGACCATTCAGAAGCAAAAGCAGCATGTTTAATAGCAAATTATCTGTAAAACAGTAATTTCCATAAGAAACAATCAATTCCTACCTCAAGTTAATAGATTAAACTTTGCCCATCATTCCCATTAAGAGACTAACAATTCCTAGTTCTACTTCTTCTCTAGAAAGAAATAGGTCGATTTGGGTTTATATTCTTATGAAAATAGAAATCGAAAGATCTCGACATCAGGGAAATTGATTAAAAAAATTTAAAGAAAGTGATAATATTGAATATGAATCAGAACAAGACTCTGCTAGAGAGAGCTAAATGTTAGTTATTAAATGACAATGAATTTAAAAAAATAATATTATAGATTTATTCTATTATTATATTCAAAATAAAGTTAATATTGACTTAAAAAACATATATTTGAATTTGACCATATTTGACCGGTCAAATATCGGTCAATTGACCGAAACGTATTTGACCGGTCAAATGCACAACCCTATTTACAACATAAATAACGAATATGCCAAGATTCATTCATTTTTGCTGCCTCACTTAAGAGGACTTTAGTATCCTTTTATTTATATTTAGATTCATTAAAATTAATAAAACCTAGGTATGATAATTTTAATAAAATAAATTTTTGATCCATTGGTTTTCTAATGCTTATTTTTAATATTAATAAATTGATTGTTAATTTATATAATTTTATTATTAACCAATCTCAACGAACACAGATTGTTAAAATCTTACCTAATATTTGGATTACAACAATTCACTTATCATTTGCAAAAATTTTTAGTAAAATTTATTGTACAAACCAAATATAATAATCAACTTTATATAGCTATTTTGCACTTATTTATATGATCATTGAATTGAGATGTATGTAAAAAGTCAAAAGTAACTTATTTATATTTCAATCCATAGACAGTAATAAATTATATTTAATTTAATTTTACATTTACTGTTTATATTTATCATGGGTAGTGTACACAATGTATTATTTTTAGTTAAATTGATACATTTTTAAATATCATGCATAGGAATGCCAAAAGGAAATTTAAAGGTAGAGCTGAAAATTAGGAAAAAATCCTGCTGGTCTCAAAGCAGCTGGTGCTGATCTAAAACAACTTAAATTATCTTTCTTTGATAAATCAATACCAAGCATTTCTAATACTATTATTTTATGTAAAAAAACTATTTTTATAGGAATATCAACAACTGCCTCCCATTTACATCTACTGGAAACAACTACATTGTCTGCAACATCTTCATTTATTACTGCATCAGTTTAATCATTGCCACACCCACCTAAAACTATATTATCCACCATTACAGCAGATAAATCATTCACATACCCTGAAAATGCATTATCTACAATTACAGCAATTTCATTTTTATTATCCTCACACTTGTCAAAAGCAACTATCAATAATATCTTCAGATATTTCACAAAGTGGATTATTGATATCGGAAACAATTTCACCATATATAGGAATTTAACGTCACATTCATCTGTAACTATTTCATCATCTATTCTTTTAAAGAGCCCCAACCCAGATATGCTATAAATCGATTCAGGGGATCCTACAATCTCCTTCAGAACAGGAATGCATACATGAAAATTTTAAGTTGCAATTAACAGCTACTAACTATACTTCAAAAACTTACATTTTTAAAACATCCTATACAACCAATAAATAGTAAATATTATAAATTATATTATCGAATGGTTATGAGTGAAAATATACCTAGAATATGGAATACAATAAAACTAACATGCAATAAAGCCAAAGTTGTGTTCTGCTCAATCTGCCTGGCAGTATGCTAAAACACTTTCACAACAGGCTCAACAAATTTTCGACATATGCATTCAGTAATTAAAATATATAAAAATTCAAGAGTACATATGAAGACGATGGCTACCTCAGACCATCAAAAAACAAGTCATTTGATAATTGAATTAGTGTTAAAATATTAAATGAAAAATATCGATAAATTTATAACAATGTCCACATAATAAAACAAATATTGGAGATAATAAAGTTTTTAGGCAGATAAAACTTACCCTACAGAGGATCATATGCGACTGAAACACTTAGCCAGTTTGAAAATGAAAATTTGAATCATGGGAATTTCCTGGAAATGATTCTTATTATATCAAAGAATGATCAAATACTCAGATATCGTTTAGAGAAGGCTATTTTAAAGAGCAAACGTAGAAAAGGAAAGCTTAAACTCTCTGACAAATCAAAATTGAAAGGAAGAGGGTCTCTCATAACATTGTTGTCAAAAACAACTGTTAACAAAGATATTGATGTTGTTCTTGATCAAATCAGGAATTTAATAAAAAAGGAGATTGGTAACAAACGGTTTAGTTTGCAAATGGATAGTGCTCAAGACATTAGCGTTTATGATCAAGCAACCATTTGCCTACGATACATATATAATGGTTAAATAACAGAAAGGCTTTTCACACTTACAAAAGTTACAAACTCTTCTGGAAAAGGATTTTTTGATATCTTGTATAGAGGCTCCAGGTAGTTTGTATATTTAGTGTTACAGTCAGAACTCTGTATATGTGATTCATGCCATGATATTGAAAGCAAAAATTTATTTAGATTATTGAACAGACTAGCAACTTTCTTTGGTGAATCATATAAAATAAAAGGATGGATGCTTGGGTAAAACAGAATAATTCATCCGGCCAAAATGAGTTGAGAAGGCTGCAAAAATAGGTGAAAAAAGTTGTTGGGTACGTGAAAAAGCTCTTAGATGAATATATGGTAAAGAGAGCTTGCTCCCAATTTCAATTTATAATAGATAATAAATCATTTGAGGCAAAAATCTCATCAGAATCTCAGTCTTTGATCGATAATTTATGTAAATTTAAGACTCTAAGTTCAGCTATAATATATTTGGAAATTTTTGAAATAATGGGGTCAATGTCATTATATTAGATATTTTGTCAGCTTAGAAAATGATAAGAAGATGCTAAATCTTCTGTATCATCTATAACTATTAAATCGATTAAAATAAAGCAATAAAAATGGCTTCTATTTTAAATGAAACACTTACATATTTAAAGCTCACGGAGGGTGTCTGGGTACAGAATTATCTGCCAAAAAATCGAATAGGACGAGCGAAGAGAATATATACTGACGAAGGCCAAGATGAATATCCTCAAGAATCGATTGACCTTTGTTGGGTCAAAGTATTTCACCCTATAATTGATCAAATTATAAACAGCTTGTCAGAACGGTTTTCTGCGAATAGAGAGCTTATTTTGAATGTGCAATATTTGCATCCAAGGCATTTTGATGAAAGTTATAGTAAAGGTATTTCTGAAAAGGCTTTGGAAAAACTGGCACAATTGGCAAATATATTTAGGCATACAAAAAACGAATCTCGAATAATACTATTATTCGAATTCTATTTGAATTTTTGAAACGGATAATTGCGCTATTCGTATTCGTACGAATCGAATAATTTATTTGTTTTCATCAAATAATAAAATCATTATTCAATTCGAAAATTTTTCTAAATCTTATAAAAATTAAATTATTTTTTCGATACTTTTAAGAATTCTCTAAATAATTGTCATTAGCATGTCAAAATTTACAGTAAATAAACGAAATAAAACTCAATGATCTCATATAACGTTATTCAAAAAAAATTGGCCAAAAACACCCTTTTAAGAATTAGATTTGCTTATGAAAATATCTAAATTATTTCTTCAATCTAATATTCAAATTTTTAAAAATGTACAATGATCTCATTTTATAAACATCAAAATATAATTATTCTAGATCCGAATTGGATAATAATAAGTTTTTCTAGCAAAATTATTTTTTTCTACATTATCATATTTGTCCTTATTGGGAATAACCGCTCACATGAAGCCGAAGATCCCTGAATGGACAATATATCAGTTGCCATTTTCAACAACACGGGAAATAGGTTACTAAATGGAAAAGGATTTTCCTAATCAAGGAATAAGAACTCATCGACAAAATTTCGTTATTCATCTGCCAGGAGTAAGAATATGGGAAAGAAGCAGCCACTCCAGAAAAATGTTTTGACTTGTTTATAACACCAAAAATGATTGAAGAGATCTACTAAAGAAGTTGAAGAAACAGAATTCAATGCATTATTAGGAATTCTTTATTTTGCTTTAAATCTAAACATCAAAATAAATTAATTATATTATTAGTTTACTTTGTTGGGTTTCCATTTTCATTAAACTTTTTATCAGAAAATATAACTTATGATTTGATTATGAATATATGAAAAATAGGAAATAAAATAAAGTAAAACGAAATGATATTCACTAGGAAAATTTAATTAGGGGAGACCGGGGTTATATTGTCCATAAAAAATTGAGAGGCTGTGAAAAGGAGGAGAAATAATTTATCAAAATAATTTTTATGTTATTTTATTCTTTATATAATTATCTACGGTAGAAATTAATATCTAATAAAAAAATATTATATAATTTTTTAAATTTAAATTTTAAAAAAATGAAAATTTTTGAGTCATGAAAAAGAGACGGGGGACGTATTATCCTTTTGCGGGGCATGTTTTAGACTATCACTTTCTAAGCATTTTATTCATTTTTTTTCATACAAAAATCATAACAAACATATTATTACAACACATTTATTACATATAAAAAATTAATTAAAATCACAACATGATCCATGTGCCCATAAATGACAATTACGGCATTGGAACCAATCTTCATTATGGTGGTGAGTTTGATAGTTTTTGTGGCACACTAAACAAAATTCTTTTTTGCCAGCATTCATTTTATTATTGGTTTGATTTTTTTTTTAGATTATTAGCCCTAGATCTGGCTATTTTTTTGTAAGGTGAAGAGGTTAAAATGGCTGAAGTTATTTGATTACGTGTTGTTTTTTTAAATATTGTTGGATGGGGACTAATAATTAATGGAGCAAAATCTTTTTTTACGTGAGAAGATGATGAACAGGACTATCACTGACAGATGGTTACGAAATAATTTCAGGTAAATTTAAATTCTCATTAGGATCGTTATTATTATTATTATAATATAAAGGATTATAATTTTCTTCATTAAAAATTAAAGAATTTAGGGGCCATATACCTGAGGATTCAAAACCCTTTTGGATATTTGAAGCTGAGGTGACTTTTGGAAGGACATTCTTTACTACTCCAGGGATATCATATATAGTAAAACTTTTCTCTGGATGCATTCTCATCCAAGCATCCAAGGCACTGTTGTAATATTTTTTTAGAGGTCCAAAAACAGTTCTATCCAATGGTTGGAGTTTGTGAGTGCAATGGGGAGGGAGAGTCAATAGAACTATACCACTGTCAGAGCACAGCTCAATGACTTCAATAGATTGGTGAGATTTATGATTATCTAATATAAGCAAAACTTTTTTATCTTGACTGGGCTTAGTGTATTTTATAAAATGATTTAAAAAATATATAAAATCTTCAGCCAGCATCCATCCAGAACCATTGGACACGCCAATGCATCCTACAGGGCCATCTCTTAAATAATGATCATAAAATTTTTTCCTGGGATATATAAACATAGGTGGAATAGAATTTCCTAGAGCATTGACAGAAATTGCCAAGGTCATAAGTGTACCACGTTCTGATGTAGTAATTGCCCCAACCTGTTTTTCGCCTTTCCTTGCAATAACTTTATTAGGCCGTTGAACTGTTGTTAATCCTATGAAAATATTAAAGATTTGCTATCATATATATTTTAATTTACCAGTTTCATCCATATTATATATATCACATGGTAGAAAGTTATTTTCCTTTGTGACAGTCAAATAATTATTAAAAAATAAATCAACCATTTTCATATTGAAATTGGTAGCCCTGGCTATACTTGTAGCCTCTGGTGTTCTCAAAGAAATAGTTGGATTTCTTTTAATAAATGCTCCAAACCAGTCTTCACCATCTGATTGAGTTATTTCCCAAGATTTTGGTACTTGTAAACTATACCTCTTGGCCATTTGATAAGCTAAAACTCTAACCTAAATTTAAACATAAGACATTAAATTATTTATATATTAAGGCAATCTAATTAAAATCCTAATTCTTAAATTTTATTCTGAATTTATTTTATAATTAATATAATAAAATATATCACATAATTAAACCTCTAATGTATAGGTAAGAACCAAAATATGTTTTAATGCATGATATAATTTAATGCTAAATCAATGAATAAATCATTTTAAAATTAATATACATGGCAGCATCATTTTATTTTAAATATATATCATACACACATAATTAAATCTTTAATATATAGGTAAGATATGATTTAATGCATGATATAATATATATAATGCTACAATGAATAAATCATTTTAAAATTAATATTAATATTAATACATGGCAGCATCATTTTAAAATTAATATATATACATGGCAGTATCATTTTAAAATTAATATATACACATGGCAGCATCATTTTATTTACATATATATCATACACACTTAAATAAATATCATTCTAATGTATAAGTTAAATTCTCACTTTAAAGTATTTTAAAATTAATAAAGATATTTCATTAACATATAATGTAAATAATTAAAAAAAATTTTATCAAGTATATTATTATTTAACTAAAGAAATACCATGGCAAAATTTAAAGATTATAAAAAAATCATTTTACAGAGATATATGTTATAACAAAGTATTAAAATACTTGTTTAGGGCATAATCCTGAAAATAATCTTGATCCTTTAATTAAATAATCTGTTAATTTAGCTTCTTGAATAGGAGAAAATACTGATCTGTGAAGATATCGCTCTTGAAAATCTTCATTCCTTTTGAACAATTTATTATACCTCTTAATGCTTAGTTTCTTAAATATATACTAATTTAAATATATAAATATACCTCCCATAACTTAAATTCGTATTCATGGTTATAACTGTCAAAGGTATCTTATCTTTCAGCATTTGAAGAATACTTGCCTTTTAATTATCATTATTTTCTTTGTTAGTTTTCTAATATATGTTTGAACCATTTTACAAAATCAGAACCAATATTTTAATGAATGTATGTAAAAGGAAAAGACGCACCCCGCTAATACCTTCCCCAGGTCCACAGGATCATTTAAAAATTAAATTTAAAATATTAAATTAACATAATGATTGTCAATATTTTTATATATGATAAAATGGAGATTCATTTAGAATTTATATTAAGTCTGAACAACTTTTATAAAAAAAGTTATTAGTGAAAATGTAAAATTTAAAAAAAGTTACTTTGGGTATGTTGAAACTTAAATTTGCATTTAAAATTTTTCATGAGCAATTTTGTCCGAAACAATTTTGGACCTACTTAAGCACCTTATTATAATACATATTTGGCTTAAATTACAAATCTTAAACTTTATTAATTTTTAAATTATTTGAGAAGGAAATACCTACCCCGGGAACACACTATCCCCGGTCTCCCCTATAATTCTTTTTTATTATTTACTTACGATTTACGAATATTAACGAAAAAATAAAATATTTACGAAAAATTACGAATATTTATAAATAAATAATTTCGAATAATACAAATAATTCGAATTGAATAATAAAAAGTTTACTATTTGACGAATATTTTTCCTCATTATACTATTCAATTTGAAATTTCGAATTGAATAATTGTGCTGTACGTATTCATAAAATATTAATCGAATTGAATTTCGAATAACAAATAATTCATTTTAGGCCTAAATATATTGAGTGTTAAATTACTTGACGAATTGTGTTCATTTACCAGTGTATTCAAAGATTTAATATCACAATTAAATGAAACGTACGATGATATCGTATGTACAAGTGAGGAGCCAAATGATGAAGATGAAATATTACAATATGATAATAACTCAGAATGTGATAATGAATGTAACTAGTGTTTAATATGCATGTATGAAATTCTTAAAAGATACAATATGCACACATGTGCATACACTGATTTATTTTTGGCATATGAATACATTTTAACTTTGTCATTTATGCAGGTTAATTGCGAGAGAACATTTAGTAAATTAAAAATTATAAAAAATAGGCTGCGAGCTAATATAGGCGAAAAATTAGAAGCGTTTTTAATGATGTCAATTGAACGAGAACTATTAGCGCAGATTGAACTAGAAGATATTCTTGTTTATTTGCGCAAAGGTTCAAAGTTAATGAGAGATTTATTAACGTAAAAATTATTTGTTATCTTAATTCTTTTATTTAAATCTTATTTATATCTATTTACAATATGATCGATGCCTGATTTTATAAGTGCAGCAATTCTATTCTCTGTGCAATATTGTATAATTGTAATAATTTTATATGTATAATTAATTGATCTTATATATTGTGTATGTAATATTTTATATTTAACAACATATGATGTATGATTTGATTTTATAGTGCAATATCGTTGTAAATCTAATATAAAATATATATGATGTGCAATGAATATTTTTTTTATATGTGCGATGAATATGATTTTAGATATACATTTAAAAATAAAATATATGATTATCGTGTCATACTATTCATTTTTTTATTAAAAATGTAAATCGTTTGAACTTATTTTTAAAAATAAGAAGTAATAAAAATCATGTAATTCGAAGAATCCATTTAAGGGAACCCGGCCGAAGGCCTGCTAAATGGGAGTATGGGGGCGAAATCTCTATAAAAATGAGGCCGCTATAAAAAAATGAACACAAGGCCTTAGCGGCCCTGTCCTTCCCTGAATAAGGAATTATGTCCTTCCCTGAATAAGGAATTATATTCAGAAAAACAGTTAGAACACTTTTTTTTTGTTTTTTTGCATATCATAGATTTTGATTGACATGAGATATGAAAGTATACTAACCGTAGCCTCGAATTAGGATTATGTTTATACCGTTTGTAGCCTTACGAAAAGGTGAATATCATTTACGGCTTATTTTAATTGAATTTACAAGCTAATTACCATTTTTCAATAATCAACCAAGCATAATACTTTGAGTTAATATAAATAGAAAGTATAAAGGTAAACAATTTTTTTAAATTCTATTAATTCAGATATTTTATGCTATTCTAATTACACAATTATTATATTTATATAGTAAATAAAGGTGCACATTCTATAATCAATCAAAAGGGTCATATCCTACCCAGAGCAAATCTGATATGAATGATTATGATATTTTATTTTCTATTAAAATTAAATTTTAGTGGATCAACTTCCCCATAAATATAGATCTCTCAATACTCCATTCAGTCTATAGAAAATATTAATAAGTATTCTCCAATACTAATAAATAACAAAGTACTACTTAACATTTAAAATTAAGTTATGCAAATTAAAATAATAGAAACATTATCAGCACCATCTTGTCAGTTTATAAATTTTTAAAATAGATTTATTTTTGGGTATTGGTCTCTGATAAATGTAAATATCATTATTAGTTGTATGACTTAAAATTTTTTACATAGAAATTGTAAATTAAAAATACCAGCAAAAAATATGTTTTGCTTCTTTTTTTACTAAAATAAATAAAATTTTAAGTTTGGGACAAAACAATTAGAATTGAAAAAAATTAAGCTGATTGGTTAAATTCTCTTTTATTAACATATTATGAAATTCAAAATTTGTTACAAAATTAATATTTTAAATTCTCTCGCTTCAAACTTTAGAGGCCATATTGGTCGCCATTTTAGCTTATTTGTCTTTTTGATATTTTTTAATATTCGATATAGTGGACCCAAATCGTTTTTTATAAAATCTAAAAATCATATTATATTCGGATAGCTATTTAGAATTCTAAAAAAATATCCGAGCTAAGATAGAGCCTTTTTGCTAAATATAATAATAGTTATGAACAATTAATTACCAAAATATATTTTATATCGCAATATGATAATTTAAAAAGTTAATCCAATCTCTCAGTCAATATATCTTTCATAATTAAAAATTAATCTTTGCTATTATGCAAATTTTTTAATAAGTTTTTCTGTATTGGGGGCAGCGTCTACATGACAGGATTTTCACTGGATGCAAATCCCCTTAAAAACCTTTGCCTACCCCCCTAAAAAATTCCACCACCTTCGGCGGCAGTGTCTCTTTATTATTATTTTCACCTTTATAATTATATTGATACTCTTTTCAGAGAATTTATAAGGATAACTTAAATTAATCTATCTCTACTACCAACTATCGATATTTTGTGAATATAAAGAATTTATTTTTTAGATAATAAATTGAATTAAAACCTCCATTATTTACAATGAATTAATTAGTATGGCATTATGAGCTTGCTGATTTGGAAAACAATGTGTATGATTGTTTGCAATATATAGATTTGGTCAATAATTGTATTATAATAATTCTATAATAAAAGTATTAATTTTTACAGCAATAAATTGTGTCCTATTTTATCTCAAAATTTAATAACCCCCCAAAATTTTTATCCTACCCCCATTAAAGCAGCCTACCCCCTTCCCCCTCAAAAAAATAAGATGCAAACTCTTCCTACCCTTCCCGCTCATGTAGACGCTGATTGGGGGTTAAATCTCTATGTGTGTTGAGTAGAGCTGGTTCATACAATTTATTTTCTTATGTCGCACATCTGAGATAAGATTTTATTCTCCGTAAAGAAGAAGGTCCTGATTTGTGCATATATTACAGTAATTTTAATATATTTTTAAAACAAATATATATTAATTAAAGTATGCAATGCTTCCATAATGTTTCCTAGAGGATTATCTACTAAAAATAATCGTTCATAACAAGATTTAAATTCTGAAAAATAGGTCTTCAGATACATTTAGTGTTTGCAGTGTTCCGGTAGAACCAACGGTCCAGTTCGGTCTCATTTGACTATTGGGTACGACGGGAAGGTACTGTCCGACAACACGGTCCGATGGTCTGGTCCGACCAAAGACCGATTAAAAAAGATAAAAATTTACCATGAATTGCGACACATAAAACAGGATTTAATGCCTAACACTTTATAATCTCATTCATCGTTTACTTTTTATATTCTTCCGTTTCATTCATTCGTCAAATGATATAATTTAGTAGGTAGTATTATATTTTTTTAGAAATTGAAATCATAGAGAGATAATATTATTGAACCACCACCCTCTGTGAAAGAATAACTATTAATTTGGAAAGTAGTATTAGTAGTGCAAATGGAAAAAATCTATCAAATTCAAATTTATAAGATGTTAAAGTGAGAGCTCAAAATTTTAAATAGATGAATAAAATTTTCATCAAATTAACCCACTTATATATGATTAGGTAAGAACCTATATTAAAAACCCAAGATTAACGAAATATTGTATGGTATTGTGGATGGATAAAAAATGGAGCAATATTTTAATTTTTTAGCAGATAATTAGAATATTTATATATAAATCAGTTTTTATAATCAAATATCTATCACATTATATATATCAAAAAGAAAAACTAATTGTGAATATGCAAATCAAATTGATCTAAATTATATTTAATAAATTTGTAATAGTTTAATATTCTTTTGAAATAATAGGCAGTGGTTTCTAATGTCTGGACACGAACTCCCACAAGGACGCTCTGAACAGTGCGTAAAATTTTAAGATTGTCAAATACAGCGCTGATTCTTCTAATTACATATTCGTACCAATCATTTGCTCCACTTCCCTTTCGCGCCCAGCGAGATCATTTGTCATCAAAATTTTTAATCAATTAATTCTTATATTTAAAGAAACTAATGGTTGGTACTTAAAGATATTAATTTATAAAACAATATTTATTAATAGTATTTTATCCTTAACCTGTCAAAATCATTTATTTATTATATCAAAATGTCAAAATCATTATTTTATTATATCAAAGTACAAGTATTTTTTGTTCATGGAAAATATTCCGGGCGCGAAAGGGTTAAGAACATATGGTGATTTGGCTAAAAAGTTTTTTAAAGACGTTGGCCTCCTAATCAAGAAAATTTCTGGGGAGCCTCGCGATGTCTTTTACTTAAGGAAGAGTATCGCAATTCCCATACTTATGGCTAATTTAATTGTTTGTTTTATCAATTCGATCTCTCCTGATGATTAGAGGAGGGGTTTTTTAAATATATTTGCTGGTTTCGCTTATATTTATTTTGTATTTTACATTATTTTATTATTTATGTTCAATATTGTCCTTTTGTCATTATGATTTTTTCTAACTCGTAATCGTTTACTTAATATGTTTATATTACATATCATATGATAGTTGTACATTTTTAGTGAAATATTATTTTGTTATAATCTATAATTTATAATTATGTGATCTTGATTTAAATTTTATTTAAATAATTAGTTTACAAATAAAATACATTAATAAATTGTATAATATAATAAAAATGATATAATGGTATAAATAAAATATCGGTAATTTACACATTTATTTTTGATAAATTTAATTCAGAATAAAACTTTTATAGCTTAACAAAAAAACATTTTTTTAGAAGGGATCGGACCATACGTACCGGACTGGACCGACAGTTCCACGGTCTGGTCTTACTTGAATTAACGGTCCACGATCTGGTCTTATTTTAGAAAAAAGGATAAGACCGGACGGGACCGGACTGTTGCAAACACTAGATACATTTATATCTAAATAAAATTGAGCTAAATATTTAATTTCTTCAATATCAAGATTTAATATAAATGACTTCTAGGTAATATTAATTGTAAATTAATGTATCCAAAAGTGGAATAAAAACGGCTATTTTATAGTGATCTTCAATTAAATCCACCTTTATATTGGAAAGATTAGTTTTAATAGGTATAGGGGTCGAGGTTTGCAAATCTCAAAATCATTTTTAAAAAACATATAAATCTCATGAAATCTTTAGTCGTTATTATCACTTAGTTTTCTAAGTTATAATAAAATTATATAACGATTCTTAAACGATTCTTATAACCAGAACCAAATCCTTATCATTTTTTGAATTGCATGAAATTTTTGTGTAATTATAATAATATATTTTTTATAAATCAGTCATTATAATTTCTGAAATTATTAATGGGTTTGAGTTATATATTTTTTATAATAAATTACATTTTTTTGTCGATAAATATTCTTATATCGTTCAATGTTTAAGGTTTAAAAAATGTATGAAAATATACTATAAATATTCTTGGGAAAAATATTAACAAACAAGTAAGAAATATTTAAATTATTTTTTACTTTTTGGTAAAATTTAATAGAATTTTACCGATATAAATACTTTCAATTCACAATTGGCTACGCACCTGTCCTACATATTTGAAACTAATAGTTTTGAATATAAAAAAAAAATATTTAAAGAAAAACCATAGATATATTTAAATTAATAAATTTGATATATAAACTATCAAAAATAGTATTAAGTTATGATATTTTCTGATTTACTTGCTACCAATTTCGATTAAGGTTAGTAGAAACCTTATTTGGCGCAATAAGTATCTATTGGATTTTACTTAATGAGGTGAGTTTGATTTCTATTAAAATATAATATTTCTCATAATTTAACATCCTTAACTCTTATTGTAATGCAGCCTAAACTAACCGCTGATTCTTCAAGATATGGGGTCATAGCTTGCAATATTTCTTTAAAACGAATAGATACTTATTGGTGCTCTACAATTCTCCGCAGCCATAAGTATCTATTAGAGTTTGCTAAATGTGGCAGGTTTGCTGTTCAGGTAAGTACGCAGGAATTCACTTTGGGGGGAGGGAATATAATTAATTTATTTTATAATTATTCCAGGAGTTCTTTAAGAATATCTTAAGGAGAAATTTATTAGTTAGTTACTTTAAAATATTGACAATTTCTAATCTACAAATTATGGTATGAATTAATAAAAAATTATTAGATGAGTAATCGTCGTATGAATCACTATAAAATAAATGTCTCGAAAAATAATTCATTCATTACCAAAAAATATAAATTTTTTAAGCGTTTATAAATGTCTCAAAAAATAATTCATTACCAAAAAATATAAATTTTTTAAGCATTTAAAATACGTGTCAGGTCAATTCAGCGAAATAATCTTCTTTGGAATTGAGCTAATTTTTAAATGATTTTATCAGTGCTTGTTTTCAACTCCCTATGTATATTAAGAACAGCTAACACCCATTCAATCTATTTTCAGACGTAGTATTTCTCAGTTGAGCATATTTTTACGGCTGACTAAATATTTTACCTATAAAAAAATAACTCTAGCATGTAGTTTTGGTAATAGATAGCATAAAGGTTTAGACATCTATTAGCGGAATTTTCATGTATAGGCAATATATTTGTGGCTAAAATATCGAGTTAGCCTTTTTTTAAAATAGGCTGAAACCGAGCTATTTGATAGAACTACTTCTCAGATATTTATTCTTGCTAATGAAGAAAATGTTCTTTCAGCAGAAGTAATAAGGGTAAGGTTGCCAAAATAGATGATAATTTTATTTATTAGGAAAATAGTCTAAAATTTATATGAAATCATGAATAGTATCTATAGCAGTATTTTTTGAAACATCATCAACCTTATTTAATTTATAATACCGTGCATTCAGCTAGTAGTGTATCATTGAATACTTTAACATTTTCATTATAAAAATCTGCCAAATATTAAAATTTTTTCTCTCTCAAAATTTGAATTAAGGAATTCTGCGGAAATAATATTTGCAGATTTGTAAATGCTGCATGTTAAATCAAAAACATTTCATTCATTTGAAATATGAAAGTATCCAAGAGGGAAATAAATAAATTTTTTTTTAGTTTTCATCAACTGATGGGCTTGCCTTGTTGCGAGTCGAGGTAGATAAATATTAAATTCATAGGGCTTTGCGTTTCCCAACTTATAATTTATGAAATCCGAAAAAGGTAGATAAATATAATACTAAGGAAATTTTGAAATCGATTAATGTATTTATTTCTGTTGTGATAATTGTAAATTATAATATATATGTAGGAATCAATAATATTTTCACAGATATCTGAATTCTTTGGCTCTGGGATGGGGGAGGGATTTGACCTTCTGCTATTCCCCCACTGAGTACGAGCATGTTGGATAATAAAATATATTAACATTCCTAATTTAATATTTTAGATTGCATTAAATTTAACCCTAGTCTACATCTAGCCTTAGCATGAACCAATCTAGGAGTTACATCATGAGTGGGAATTAATTTTAAATTTCTAGCCATGACATGCTTCCCAAAATTACAAAAGAAAGTTAAATAGTTTTTTACAGTAAAATATTTTTCACTATTTCATCTATAAATCTAATTGATAACCCCCCCCCCCCCCACCCCAAATATATTTATTATATCTTAAACCCACCCGCTACCTACCCTCCCCATATGTGTATTATGAATCATAAAAGGACCGTGATCGCTAATCTTTTTTTAGAAAATTTTTGGATCCTGGATTTTCATTCATATTTTTAAAAAAATCGTGATCGTGATTTGATCCTTTTGAAAGAATCGATTAACAAGCCTAACCTTAATTCATCATTAACGTCTAATTGTACTTATATTTTCGTATTAGTAATGATATATAGCGTTGGTTGTTTACCAATTTGTTAATTAAATACTAAATTTCCCTAAAATGCAATAGGATCCACCTTTTTTAAATATCATAGAATAATGCGGTCGTCTCCGATATTCCATAAAACATTGCCCATAACAGGGAATACCTAGTTGACTTCGAAAAAAAATCGGGCCCTAATCTCATAACCAGAAAAATTAGTGTCACATCACTCACATTTTAAGTTACCGGCTCTACTAGAAGGCAACAAATTTTTCTGTATTAATTTTAATAAAAGATATGAAACCAAAAATGTTCAACCCTAAACATCATTATCCTTCTCGTAACCTGTATTTTATTTATTTATCAGTTTATTTTGTAATTTAATCATTCAAATTTACTTGTTATATAAGACTGTAAATTTTATAAAAAAAGTAACATAATGTTATTCCAAGAAGGAAATCATTTAATTGAAAAATCTATGATGATATTTGTACAATTGCCTAATACGCTATTAAACCTTATATAAACTGTTTAAACTAAATAAAAATATTTTAATTCATAATAATTTAAGAATGTTATTTTATTCCATAAGTATATGTTACAATGTTTTTTAAGATGGTTTAAGAGAATTGTTTTTTGAATGGCTTAAAAAATAATATTTCAAATGGAAATAAATAATTGTTTGATCTTAGATTATTTAAATTTGCGTTAATATTTTATAAAATAAAGATTTATACCATTACATAAATGAAAATAATAAATTTACATTCCTAGTGCGAGATCACAAATTTATGCTATGGCTCTGCGAGTTCAATTTGAAGGCAACAATGAGATCGGAGTATTCTCTAAGCTCACAAATACCTATTGCTTAGTTGCTATAGGTGGCTGTGAAAACTTTTATAGGTATATAATAATAATAATCCATTTTTAATTTTTTCTTAGTGTTTTTGAAACCGAGTTATCAGAAATTATACCAGTAATTCATACTTCAATTGCTGGTTGTAGAATTATAGGTAGATTATGTGTTGGTAAGTTTTATATTATACCTTGGATCGAAATATATATTACAATCATTTTTTATTATTAAGGTAATCGATTTGGTTTATTAGTACCTCATTCCACAACTGATCAAGAATTACAACATTTAAGAAATTGTCTACCAGATGGTGTAAAAATAGAAAGAGTTGAAGAAAAACTTTCAGCCCTTGGTAATGTTATTGCTTGCAATGATTATGTTGCTCTCACACATCCTGATTTGGATAAGGTTTAAATAGTCATATTAATACAAAAATTTACTTACCAGATTTTTTTACATTAAAATATAATTTTTTAAAAAACTGAAGTTTAATTGAATGAATTATAACAATTTTCCTGGCCATCATTTACCCTCATATGTTGTAGTAACTTATTTTCTTGCATGATCATAATGCTAATTTTTTGACAAAATTTTAAAGGTAAAAAGAATTAAAATTTCTTTATTTTAATATTGGGTTATAAATTTATTATTTAATAATAAAATATGAGACAATATGTTGGCATCATTGATTCAGCACTTTGGGTGCCAGCCCAAACTATAACTTATATCAGGTTTTACAGCCTGGCCTTTAATTATATTTACCCATATTTTGAACAAGTAGTCTATCGTGATTTTTTTTAAAGGAAAACAACATAAATCTGCCTAATCATCTCATTTAGAAATATTTTTAAAATTTTGCCCCTGCTAAAAATATTTAAATTTATATATTTTGGGTTGAGGTGCATCAACCTTTAAAGCACATTGCAAATATATTTCATAAGATATCAAGCATAACAAAAGAGGGGCATTCCCTCATTTGGAAATTTGTCTATCTTCATACATATACCCTACACCCCCCCCTCTTGACCAAAAAATAAATGATGGAAAAAGATTCTCCTTTTGGAAATTTGTATAAAAATTTATACCCTAAACTCTCCCCTTCCTACTTTACCAAAAAATAAATAATGGAAAAAGATTCACGCAATAATTTTTTTTTAAAATTATTAGCTAAACCCCCCTCCCTTTTGAGAAGAAAATAATTGAGGTTTCTGTCTGCTTACCCGCAAAAATGTATACAATATATTATAAACAATGATTTGAAAGAAAAGTAGGTAAAAATTAATAACTTTTTAAAATAATGATTAGAATTCAAAATTTTTAGAAAAAACACCACATTGAATTGACAACCTTGTAGTGCTTAACCAGATGTTAATACAACTGCACTACAAACAAGTAAAAATAAACTTGTTCAACATAATTGACAAAAATGAACAAAACTTCATGAATTAAATTTAAAAAAATTTTCATTTAATATAAATAAATGCCTTATATTTTTAACACAATATATATATATATATACTTTAAATTGTGTTTGCAATTAAAATATAAAATTCTTGATAAAAACCTTAAAATAATAGAAATTCTGATTAGACTAGAATATAGAATCATGAGACTAGAGTTTTATAGAATCATGCTAGAAATAAAATTCTAAAAGATATTAACTATTTTATATATATCAGAGACCTGCAGGCCCAGTCTGGGTACACAGGCTGGGCCATATTTTCTTGGACAGGTCTAAATTTAATTAAAAAAATACCTGGGCTGTGCTGTATATTTTAAATGTAATATTTGAAAAAAAATTTTTGAAAAAAATCTGGGCTGCATTGGCCCAAAAATTTTTTTTAAGGCTGTATCTTTAATATCAAATGTGTAAATAAATAAATTTATTAATTTTGAAGAAAAAAAATAACGTTATTTTTAATGTAAAAATAAAATAGTGTTCTAAATCATTTCTCATCATTTACAAAAATTGATATTTTTTTAAAAATGATAGAAATAAATAAATTTTAATAAAATTTTCCTTTAAAATTTATAAATTTGTATAATTTTTATAAAAAAAATTGTAAGTAATATTAAAGTATTTGGTGGCATTGTTATTTTTCGTATGTTATGATCGTTTTTTGGTTATGTTTTTTTTGTTTTTCTTTATTTTAATTTTTACAAAACTTAAAAGTTAATGGAAAATTTCGGACATGTTTCATAATTTTATTAATTCGCGAAATTATAAAATTTGAGATTATTTTTCAATATATTTAAGACGCATGTTTAAAAGAATTTTTTTTAAAAACAAATCCTGTGGGCCATGCAAATGGTACCTCTGTATATTTATTTAACTTTAAATTATTTTTTAAGCACATCTTTTTAAATTTAAAAATTTGGTTACAGGAAATGTATTATATCATGTTTGGAATACTTACTCTATCAATTTCAGACAATTTTTCCAGGAAATTTAATTTATATTCGTTTTTTCATAGATCTTTTATATAAATTATTAATGGCAAAATTGTCTACAATGAAAGGTATTCTTAACATGCTGGAATACATTTCTGGTAAAATCAGATTTATAAAAAAACGCTCTCAAAAATTATTTAAAGTTGAAAATTACACTACTATAATTTAAAAAAGATTCTTAAAATAAAATGAATAATTTTTTAAAAAAAACGTTTTCTTTTTTATACTGTTAACAAATTGTGCATTTGATTCAGAAGAAAAAAACAACTTTTGGCCCATTTCAAATTTATTATTTTAGATTCAACCACATCATCAAAATAGAACAATTTGAGCATATTTATTTTAAAATTTGCAGTTGTTAAAGTAGCTCGTTACAAGTAGGACGCTACTTAGCTCCCTATCTTTTTTTAGCTATAGCTAATAGCGCGTTACTTTTCCCCAATTATTGCGCACTCCATTTTTTGAAAGTAGCTAAGTAGCACGCTACATAGCTACCTTTTTAAAATATAATTAATGTAAAACTATAAACATGAAAATTTAAATATAATATAATTTTTAATTTATTACTGACATTTATATTTTCAATTTGTATTATAAACCGAAATCATGTGTAAATTATTTAAAATATCATCGCAAATGGATATCCAAATCGATGTAAGTGAGTCAGACAATTATGATATTAATGAAATGGAAGCCTGGCAGAAAATATGATAACAATAATACAAATTTTCCATTTCCAAAATTTGAAAATATTTTCAAATTAATGCAAAGACACAAGGTGGAAATTTATTTGTTCAAACTATAAAAAAAATATATCCTCAAATGTAGCAATAATCTCAAAAAACACCTAAAGGTAATTGTCATTTTTAAATTCTAATAATATTTTTATTTTGAAAATATTCATGCCAACAGTTTTAATGAGATAGAAAAACATCTTAATTGTTTTTTTTATAGGTGATACTACATTCAAAAAGACCAATTCATGCTATATTGATTATTACTAAATATTGCACATGCCAATATTTCTCAGAAAATGGCTGATAAAGTTATTGTCGATTTTATAATTGATATAGTTCCGCAAATGTCATTGGTTGATAATCCATCATTTACCATGATGATTTAAACTATCCTCTGGTACAACATTTTTGTTGCCAGACACTACTGATTGAGATAGCTGACAAAGATGTCCTAGTTAGAACCATAAAAACGACTTCCATTGATAATATTTTTGAAATAAAGGATACTAATAGAAAAGAAAATTCTCTAGACACGCTTTTTAAATCCAAAAATACAAATAAGTATTTTATTTTTCTTATATTAAAATATTATACTGCCTTGCGCTCAAGTACTACTGTTAAGGGATTATTTAGTAAGACGAAACTTATACTTTCTGATTGTTCTAGATTTAGGATTATAGTATAGAAATGATTTTATTATTAAAATGTAACAAAATAAATAAAAATAGAATATTACCATATAGTTATTTTTAATACATAACTTGTCTTTTTACATAAATTTTTTTATAATCAAAACTAACTATATTTAAATATTTATAAATGTTGATTTTTATGTATTATATATGCAATTACATTATAAACAAAAAATAAAACAAATATTATATATGCAATTACATTATAAGCGAAAAATAAAACAAATTTTTTTATAGAGCTAATAGTACGTTACTTTTTTTGATGGGTTTTTGACAAGCGATAGCATACTACTTTTAAAAGTAGGTTTTAACAACTCTGGAAATTTGAGGTCGATTTTTTTTATTATAACATTCTTATTTTTAAATTTTATAAGGGTTAATTATTATTTTGGGTGGTATTGGTTAAAATTGTAAATATCACAGTACATCTCTGTTTTTATATTAATTACAATTTAAAGGAAACCGAGGAGATATTAGAAGATGTTTTACAAGTTGAAGTATTCAGGCAGTCAATTGCTGATCAAGTTTTAGTAGGCTCATATTGCACCTTTACAAATCAAGGAGGATTGGTACCATATTTTACCTTATAAGTTATAAATTTTATATAGGTTCACCCAAGAGTTAGTTTGGAAGATCAGAATGAATTAGCTTCTTTGTTACAAATACCAATAGTAGTAAATAAATAATTTATATATTATGTATAATCATTTTTAAATTAAAGTTTTATTTATCTTTACATACTAACTTTGGCAAATTTTTAAATATATTCCTAAAAATAACCTTTATTTGTCTTAACATTGCCTATTTCTAGATGTGAGATAATTTTATATCACACTATATCATAGAGATGTAAAGCCCGACCCATCTCATTTTGGCCCGTTAAGTATTTTAGCATAAGTTACCTGATCTGACTGGTTACATTTTTTTCCCTAGTCCATAATTTTAAAATTTTCCCGGTTCAGCCTGGCGCGTTTGAATTTAATAAACAATTTCAGGCCTGGCTCGTCAATTTTACAAAAAGCCCACCTCAGCCCGTTAAAAATTTTGTAAGATTTTTTTTGGTAATAACACTAATTTTTTCCCATTGTCAATTAAGACTTTTGTAGATTTATTTGTATAACAACCTTTTTATAGATCAACTATGTTTAATTTCTATATTGTGTATTTGTAGTTGGATCATATCACAAATAACAAATTTACTATATTATTTATGGACTTAGTATTTTAGTTAGAAAGCTCTTAAAATATAAAGAAATAAGCATATTGTAATTTATTTTCAAATAGAATTAACCAAAATCAAAATATTAGTTTAAAATTCAAAAAAATATATCAAAGTTTTAATGCCCTGGTTAGCCTATTAATATTTTACGAAAAATTTTAAAGATCCTGCCTGATTTTTTATTTATAAATTGTCCAGCCTGAAATTTTTTCTAATATTTAACCTGGCCCATTATAATTTTTTTTAAAAAATTTTTGGCCCACGGATCAGGCTTTTTGACCAGCCAGGGTGGACTTTACAGATCTCTACTATACCTTTTCATATTTTTATTATAAATATTTATTTAAAACAAAGTTTCCTAAAATTTTATAGGCAGGTACAGTTAACCGTGGTTCAAACATAATAGCTGGTGGACTAGTAGTGAATGACTGGGCAGCATTTTGTGGAAATAACACTACAAGCACCGAGATATCAGTCCTAGAAACTATTTTTAAACTTAATAGATCATCAGCCTCTACCTTTCCTCATCTCAAAGATCATAAGATGGACATGGATGGGAATGATAATAAGATTGAAATGGTGCAAGAGGGATTAGACCCCAAACTAAAAGATGCATTAATTGAAAGGTACAGTTTTTCATTTCATAAACTGTTATTTAGGGCTGTGCCAATATTAAGATCGGATTGGCGTTTCAAAAAATTAACCAGGTAGATATTTCTCGAAAACCGATCCTTTATTATCATTGTTTGCTCTTTTATAATTAGGGTATTGGGAATATTAAATATATAAGGATCGGAATCTTAACTTTAAATCATTTACTGAAGTCCATTTTTTAAAATTTGATTTGGTATTTCAGCGCTAGTAGAATACCTTCCCTCTGATTTTCGCCTCCAGATGAATAGGCTGCTATAACACGTTTAAATATTTTTATCATTCATTAAAAATCCAATTACTTACTTGCTGACAAACGTGTCTCTTTGGTCCATCATTGTCTAGATGTGCAGGATCCATATTACAAACAATACCTCTCATAGTTTTCCACCTTCACATTACACATACCCTCAAACATGTAACAAGCAATTATAACACCAATTTAATAATTTATAATCTTATATACATAATTTTGCTAAGAAATTTTTATTTTCATAACAAAAATATTCTTATAATAAAAATATGTTAAATATAAAAAAATAATAAAATAATGTCAACAATTTGTAACATTTGTGCAAAATTAATAAAAGTGACAAAGGCCAATCTTTTACACAAACATAGTTACAAAAGGACAAGTCCATCCTCTTAAAAATCTCCAACCGATAAAATTATAACAATATTCAAACCCTTATTAAATATTATTAAGCCTCATCCTCCCCCTATTAACACAGATTTTCTTGAAAGATTTTTTGAATGGAAATAAGGACCCACTTTAACACATCTACCAAATAAATCTAGAAACCTAATTTCAAATTTTGTTACAAAACTTATCACAAAAGTAAATGATAATAAATTGCTTAAAATCATGGGAAGACTTATTAACCTTCTCTCACAAATGTCTTATACATCCCGCTAACAAAGAGACCCCTTTACATGAACAAATAAAATCACACATAGATAATTTTGACACTATTAAAATGATTTACTCATAATGTTAAAAAGCAAATAGATGATATAACACACAAATGCAAAATAATATCAAATAAAATAGATCAAGGTGACATAGGTGGTGCAATTAAACTTATATCCTCAGATAACCGTCTTTCTCCTATTAATGAAGAAACATTACAACTATTGAAACAACTATATCCCGAGGCTTCCACAGATAATCTACCCATCCCTCCAATCCACCAGACTAATTTTTACCAGTGACGAAATAGTCAATGCTATCAATTCTTTCAACAAAAATTCAGCACGTGGTCTTGATGGTTTCAGACCCTCCTATTTTCAATACTTAATAAATTCAAAAAATCCTTCCCATAGTTCTGTCATCAAGGTTTAAACTGTAATAGCATAATTAATAATGATATCCCAATACAAGCTCACCAAATCATTTTTGGTGCACGTCTAATTGCTTTATCCAAGATGGTGGTACCCGTTTCATTGCAGTAGGCTCCTTTTTCAGAAGAATAATAGCCAAAATCATAATCGAACGCATCAAACATGATGCTGTCAACATTTTAAACTCTTATCAACTAGGTTTTGGGATCAAGCGAAATAGCAGCTCATACCTTAAGAATATACTTAGAAAACCCGCCATCAGACTTTGTAATATGTAAACTAGATTTCAAAAATGCCTTCATAGCCTACATCGTACCTCTTTTTTAAAATTCTTCTATGAAATTTTGCCCTATTACTCTAAATTCATTGAATCCTCGTATGGCTTTCAGACGCCTGACATATGGATCTTTTCAGATTTTATCCCAAGAAAGCATCCAACAAGGGGATCCATTAGTACCTCTTCTTTTTTGTTTTGGAATCCATCATCTCATCTACCAAATCAAACAAAATTTTGACCTAGATCTTAATCTATGGTATTTAGACGATGGGACCATCTGTGGCCCCTCAGCTAATCTACTTAGCGTCTTAAAACACCTGGAAATCAATTCCCAAGCTATCGGCCTGGTACTCAACATAAATAAAACAGAATTATGTTTTTTAAACAATAAGCTACAAAAGTTGGATGGCTACAAAATCATTGTTCCCGATAGTTTAACCCTACTAGGGTCCCCATTAGCTAATGCTACCAAGTCAGAAGATTTCCATCATAACATTTTAAAATTACAGCATGGAGCACATACTATGTCACCTACCGGCATGCCAAAGTTTATTTTTAATACGCAAATGCCTTTATATAGCTAAATTTTTGCACATTTTCCAATCATCATCTTTTTTCAAAAACAACGAATTCATATCTATAATTCAGGATAAATTTAAAATATTTCTATAAAAAATTTTTAACATAAATTTAAACTCATTCAATTGGTCACTTGCTCAGCTACCTTCTAAACTAGGTAGTTAAGATTTTTTGCCACTCAATCTTTTATCCTTATCATCATTCATATCATCTAGATTATCAAACAATTCTATGATTTCTGGCTTCATATGCCCTACCGATCGTTTATTAGATGACGCTATTGACAAATGAAAGGCAAATATACCCATTAACACTGACTTACCATCAATCATCCCACAAAAAATTTTTCACACCTTCTCGAAATACCAAACAGATATATCAGTCAATCCACCTTTAGATTGCATTCAACTCCTTCAATTATCTGGCAGACTTGGTGGTCATGAATGGTTAGAATCACCCCCTAGTCGTAACCTTGGTAATATCTTATCAGATGAACAACTGAGAGTAACATTGGTTTACGTCTAGGTTGTGACATCGTACAGCCTCATGCTTGCATCAGATGCAAATCACCCGTCGATTCAAAGGGTAGGCATGGCCTTAATTGTATATTTAGTCAAGGGCGACACCAACGCCACACAGCAGGAAACAATGTAATAAATATTCTCAACAATCTTGATCCATCAAACTTATCTCAAGTAGATGGCTAAGGACCTGATGGTATGACAACCATACCTTGGGCCCTCAGTAAATCACTTATATGGGATTACACATGTGTCTCGTCATTCCCCTCAAACATAAATATCAATCTAATAATACAGGCAGAAATTAAAAAGACCAACAAATATAAAATTTTAAAAACTTCATATTCATTCCAGTAGTGACCTCTACGAACGGTATTTTTCGCCATCAACATTTAAGTTTTTTAAAAATCGGGAAATAAAATACGACTTTTCACAAATGAACCCAGAGAATTTCTTTTTATTCGCCAAAATATCAAATAGAAATATTTAGACACAATTATGGTTCCTTTTGGGGACTCAATTATAGAATTTTATTTTTAATTATATAATTATAAATTTAGAAATGATAATTTTTAACAAAAATAAAATAAAATAATTAGATGATTAACTTTGTGGGAAATAAAACAAAATACACTTAATTATTCGTGATAATGCCCCGAATATCACCTTGGTTATGAGAATAGGAAAATTTCAAAGTGGTTCTTGATTTACAGATAGTTTACAGTTAGATAATTTTTTGCATTTTTTAAATATTGGTTCAAAGATAGATGGTAAAAAAATTTAACTAAATAATTGGATAGGTCAAATATTGTAAATCGGTACAGCCCTAATTTTAGTTTCCAAAGGTATTTTTATGAAAAGTTAAATTTATTCAAAATATTTTTTTATATTGTAGTTTTGTCGATATTTAACTAATTTTATTTGCAATTTTCCAAAAGGCTCTATACTGTATTAAATTAATTTTCAAAAACTTTTTTTAATTATAAAAATATTTATATTAACATAAAGCTTGGCGTGAAATGACTAAACAAGAAGAGAAAATTTTTTTTATATTATAAATCTTATAAAATATTTTACATTTAATTATTATCAACAATATGTTTTATTAAAATTTAATGTTACTAAGATTTAATATATAACTGTAATGAGTTATTATTAATTTTTAGCATTGAAAATTTTAAATGAATTATTTATCTGTCATTTTGGATATATTCCCAATATAGAGGCTGTCAATTGTCCCATTGAGATGTTTCATATATAAGGTAGAGATCTGCAAAGTTAGGCCCGGCCCGAACGGGCTGGGCTCGGGCCTAATTATATTTAAAATAATCGGGTTCGGGCCGGGCCTATTATTTTTATAAAAAAATCGGGCCGGGTCGGGTCGGACCTTGGAAATTTTTTTAAATATATCTAAATTTATCAATTTTATATTGAATTTTTTATGTAAAATAAAAATTTTTATTGAAACTAAACGCCATATGTCTTTTATTCTGAGTTATTATTAAAATTGATTTCTATATTTAAATAAATTCGGGCCGGGCCGGTTAATTTTTTTAAAAAATTTTTGGATTTGGGCTGAGCCGGCAAAACTATTTTAAAAAATTTCGGGTTCGGGTCGGGCCGGCAAAACCATTTTAAAAAAATTTCGGACCTGGCCGGGCTTGAAAAATTAGGCCCGATGCAGATCACTAATTTAAGGTATAGTGTCCTTGTGTTTCATTTTATATGTAGTTTCTCATTGATATAATAGTCTTTTATATAAGATCTTTTTTATATGATTTTGCAAAATATCTAAATTTAAGAAAAAATGATAAATAATATATATAGCTTGAGAATGAAATATTTCGATATGCTGATTTGATTTATATCATCAGTTAAAAAGCAAGTAAAGAATTATAAAAACAAAATAATAAAATAAAAAGAGAATAGTAAGTAGATTTGAGAAATAAAATATTGAATAGTGTTTAAAAACCACGATTTATATCTAAGCTTCGAGATTTTGTAAAAAGTGGGCCCGTCCTTTCTGGCATTGGCGAAATCTTGAGGGTTAAATAATATTCTTTGGGTAAAATCCTTATTTTGCCGTTTTTTTAAATCGGTTAAATAAGGACACTACTATTGAGTTATGGTTTCCAAAAAGAAGGGAGAATATTATTTATCTCGGCTATTTGGTCTTTTGTTTATTTCAATTACCTTTTTCGATTATTTCTTTTTATATTGATATGATATAGTTAAAATGTTTCTATTTATGAAATTATGCTCAGAAATAATGATGGTTTTAGATTTTCTACAGAAATTCTCGGAAGTTCATTTTTTTTATTTTTCTACAGTTTATCTAATGTAGAATAGCAAGATTCACGGAATCTAAAATGAAGTCAATTGAGGTCAGGGGCCTGAGCATTAACGAATATGGCTTCATATAAAAATGACGGTTTAGGTTTGATTAATAAATAATAATATAGGTTTGGTATGAACCTCTAAAATCCAGTTTGAAAATTTTGTCATACAAAACTCTTTATGAGTATTCCATTCATGGAAACAACGAGGAAAATATTTATTTATTTATAGGATCAAAAAAATAAGCATTAAACTTGTTTAATTGAATTAGAAGCCAGTGTGGGTCGGCCTGTGGAAATTTTTCAAATGCAATTTTTGTCTGTAATTTTTTTTGACCAGCCATAAAATTTTTTTGTACAAGTTGTCTAACCCTGCCCATATTTTTTATGGAAAATATGCATAGTTGTCGGGCTTGGCTCAATTTATTTTTGCCTGGCTACAATGACTTTTTGATAGTGAATAGACAAGGGTTAAAATTAAAAGATTAGAGAGATATAGGATAGGGTTAAAATTAAAGAGTTTGGGTACATGGACGAACTTTTTTACTAAAATTGCAAGCATCTAGATAACAAAAATAGACAGAAGATGATCATAATTCTTACTGAGTGTGAGCTATCGTTTGAGAAAGTGAAGGAAGCTGCAACTGAAGAACAACTTTAAACAAGAAATACTCTTTTGAGTGCAATAATCGAAAAAATTGATGACTGGAATTTCGTAAACTTGGGTGAAAGAACACAGTAAGATTATCAAGTAGATGTTACAACGCTTAATGAACAAACTCCCAGCACCTGGGGAAAAGGAAGGGCTTTTCTTTTTGCTAAAATTTATATCCTAAAATAAAATGACTACGATAAAAATGAAAATATGCTTAGCAAATAATAAAATGATAATAAAAAACGCTCTCCAATATTAATAATTTAAAAGAAGGAGGAGTTCTCAAGATTTTCAGGAAGAAAGTGATAACGATTGCAGATTTCAAAATAGAGGGAAAATATTTTTAAAATTCTCTTAAATTATATTTTTAAAATTCTCTTAAACCAAATTATATAGATAGAATAAATTTAAGAGAATATGGTAGCTGGCATTTTCAAATAGCAATGTACAAAACTCTAAAAATGGCGGCCAATATATCAATCAAAATTGATTGATAATAATATTTGAAACAGTTATGATATCAAAGGGTTCACAGATATTTTAAGTTTGGGTGCCAAAATTTTTAACGGTTCAGGTTTTGTAAATAATACCCGTTTAATGATTCAGATGATAGGAATTTGAAAAGTTTTGTTTGATTCTATTTGTAGGTTGGAAGAGAAGAGTTACCAGGTCAAAATTATCAAATTATGAAAAAAAATTTCCCCGACCCAAAGTCTCTCAAAGTGCCAGCCTTTGCCTGGTTAGGGAATATAGCTTATTTGACTCTTTCCTTTACTCTAATAATTATTACTTTATCGTTCTTAAAAAGTCAGTATTTTATATTTTTCAAAATTGGTAATATTTCATTCTTATTAATTTTATCCTAAATGAAACATAGTTTAAAAAAAATTAGGTCCGACTCAGGTAAATTTAAAAAATATAATACGGCCTGCAGGTCTCTGTATTTATATTATTCGCATAAAATTATCTATTTTTTATATGCAATTTTTTAAAATTTTATAAATGTTTGGTCTTTCTAATCAAATTAAAGAATTACAAAAAAATAAAGCAAATCACTACAAAAAGGATCTAAATTTTCGAATTAAAAATTACCAACGTTATTGATAAACTTATAAAATTAGTGGCAAGGCCTATTATAATTTTGTTTTACTAATCGTTTCTCCCTTTATTTCAGCAAGCCTACTTCTTTCTATGGGTAGTCCTCATCTGGCTAAAAATGCCCTCCGATGAGGCATTCTAGTACTCAAGGTTAATACATTTTTACATATTTCTTCTGCTTTGGTCATTTATCGTTATTACGAAAGAATTCGACCCATATCTCCTCTGCTTAGCCAATTTATTTTTAAGTATTACAGGAAATCATAAAAAATAGAGAATATAATAACTCTTCAAACAAGATATCAATATTTATTTGTACTTTTAATATAATTATTAAATTGCAAAATTCATCAACTATTGTTTTCTTTTCCAGAGTTATTTTATTGATAGGATTAGTAAAATTATATTTTGATTGCAAATATTGTAGAATTATTTTAATAAATTTGCTTCGTTTAAAAGGCCATCAATTAAGGTTAAATTTACAAAATTTAAATCGCGTTTTTAGCAATATAGCCATGAAATTTATTCCCTATTTTAAGCTGTAAGGTCGAACAATGGTGTACCATTATTTTGTCAATCTTATTAATAACCAATCTTCAGATTGCAACTATATATTGACAACCATTAATACACTTCCTACGTGAAACTATGCCTCTGCGATAATTTCACCTCCTCCCTCCACTACTTGGAAATTTGCAAAGTTTCATAATTATGATTTAATATCAAAATAGATACCCCTACATCCCCTCCAATAACTTTTTAAAATAATGACTAATGATTTCTTCCAGAAATAAAATTTAAAAAAAAATAATTTAAACCCAATATTATTATTATAATATGTAACCTAGCTTAAAGATCTGCAAAAAGAAGGCATAAACCCATCCAATAAAATTATACTGGAAAAAGCCGTCAATTTTCTCTATTCAAGATAAAATTAATTTTCTGTTTCATGTCCATATTTTCAAAGTTATAAAAATAAATTTTCCGAGAAGCATCATCTTTCAAATGAAATAAAAATTTTCTAACTGTGTCATAGGTGGGCTTAATTTAGATATTTAATTGCTTTTTAGTATAAGCTAAAAAGTATTTGAAAAAGGACATGTTTTGTTTTAAATGTGGCTTTGTTATTTTTCATATTTTATTCCCTTTTATCAATTCTTTTTTTGGATTTTTTTTTCTTTTTTTGAGAAAATTTTTTCTTTTGCTTTTTTGGCTATTTACCCTGGCCTACTATTTAGTATTAAGCCGTCCTTTGAGACGGTCTAACTTCTTTATTTGTTAAAAATAGACTAAATTAAAAAAAACGCCCTTCTAAACACAATTGGAATAAATGGATATGATTAGACCTGTGCGCCGGCCGGCCACCTTTTTTGGTTACGCCGAAAGCGCCGCCGTTTAAGAAAATCATGCCAGCGCGCCGCCGATTTTCATATTCTAGTAATTGGTCAACATCACTCCTCTTGTAATTTTTTAATGTCAATCAGGATATTGATGAATTTTTATTTTTTACTATTTTAAAATCATAATTATATTAACTCATTATAAAATTCAATCAATCAAAAATCTAAAATTTCAGAAGTTACCATAATTTTACATATTTTTAAAATGGATGTATCAATATTTAATAATTCTATAAATAATTTTAGTATCCTAACTCTGGATAATAAAACATCCATAGTCTGGAAATTTTTTGCAAAAGAATTAGATAAATTATTACCACTCTAAGATATAAAACTGCAGAGGTTGAATTTGAATTCTAGGAATATCAAAGAAAATGTCTAAGTGCAATAGATTTAATATAAGACATGTTAGATCTTGACAGCATTGATCCATACACGGGTACCCGTTTTCAAATTAGCAATTCCAATGATAATAATAACAATAATTCCACGTATATGAATACCTTAAAATTAAATGTCCCAAACCCAACACATTGGCATAGTATATTAATTATGCTAGAAAGCATATCTGGATTAAATAAGGATTTAATTAATAATGTTTTGAAAAGAATTGGGAAGCACTTTCTCAAATTATGAATCTGATCTGGTAGAAGAACTATTAGTATTTCTTTCAAAATTTAAAGAAACTGTCGAATTTCTTTCAGTACAAAAAGGGCCTACTTTAAACTTGGCGTTACTTTTTAAAAGTGAAATTGAAACACATTTAATAGTAAATGATAGTGATAGTTCTGAAATTATTTCACTTAAAGAAAATATACTAAAAAAACTTGCGTTACGATTTCCGGTTTATAATCTGCAAGTAATATTATATAAGTATATTCTTTCTCTTTTAGATCCAAGATTTTAAAAATTGACAATTGTGTCAAAG